CGGTTGCCAGCCAGTGTGTCGTGTAACTGACTTTTTCCTTTTCTAGCACTCTCCTTTACTTCCTTATCCAGTGAGTCAGACGTTGGACTTGGCTTAGTTCTCCCTCAGTTGTCCATCTTTGTATTAGTTCATCCTCTCTTTCACCATCCCCCTCTCTTCTAATAACTGTGAGGAATCCGTTGAGAGCCATTCCTTGTCTCGTCTCTTCTTCCTGCCTAAAACGGTTGTACGCGTCTCCTTGAACATCACCTCCAGAGAGTTAGTTCCAATGTTCTCGTACACAGGTTTCCTCAGAAGTGTCCACGACTTCTCTCTGATGGCTACACAGAAGCTGTCTTCTTTGGATTCGTGCCTCAGTTTGTGGCTGTTGATCTTGAATTGTAGTCCATCTCCAGTTATCCTGAAGGATTTCAGCTCCACCTTGAAGCTCCCATGAACTAGATGATGGTCTGAGCCCACATCTACTCCCCTTCTCAAATTTGTATCCAGCAGGCTGAGTCTCCGCTTGCTTGAGCAGCATTGAGGTGAGGTCTGTTTGGCTTTTGGTGTGTCCGTCAGGTGAAGTCTGTGTTACTTTGTGCATATCCTTGTACTTGTACACACTGTCTCTAATCACCAAATCACTGAAGGCACAGAAGTCTGTGAAGAGTCCTCCGCTGTCGTTCATTTCTCCGAGCGAGAGCCTCTCGACCGTATTGCCTGCGCCCAGTTTGGCATCCGTATCACCCATAAGGATTCTAATGTCACCATCTGGAATGTTGAGCATTATTGCTTGTAGTCGTCTGTGGAATTCTTTCTTTTTCTCTTGTTCCGTTTTGTTCTTATCACAGTGCGTAGCATTGGATGATTGTAACCTTCGTTCCTTCCATTTTGCGTTGAATCTTGCTGTTATAATCCTGGAGTAGATATGTTCTCAATGCATAAGACCTTTGATTGCTATTGATGACACTATGATAGCCACTCAATGAGTCTGCCTGTGTTTGTTATCTGGGTGACCGGAGTAGATTATTTTCTCTCTAAATGACAAGTCGACAGTCCATTTCCATTGCCTCTGCTCTCGCATATATTCAGCAGTTCTCTGGCATACCTCCTCTTTTATTTAGCAACCTTCCCAACTTCGTATGTTTTACGAATATTTAAAATCCTCATTCTTCTTCCTGTCTTCATTGAAGTAAGTCACAATGTCTGACTGGCTCCCCGAAGGCTTTCGCAAGTCCACTGTGTCATTTTTCCTCTGTAACTCCAGTGAAGTATAAGTCTGTTTTGTATTTTTTTTGTATTTTTAATAATGTTTTGAGTATTGAAGTGTCCGTAGCAGTGTGACTGATTTTTTGGATTAGGTTCTTTAGCCTCACGACCAAACCTTCCTCTGTTCTCGAAACTTGAACCAGCTAGAAAACTAGCCAGCTAGTAGACTAGATGAGGCTGATTACAGTTATCATGCACCACAAATTATATATATTTAACAAGTAATTATATGTGAATACACAATCAATTCTTTTATTTTATATTTCGCTATTTTTTAAGGCTGTTTTGAACACATTTATTATCTGTGCACATTTCTACTCATACATATCTTTCCTACGAGGGATAGTAGCAAGCGTTATCGGTTTTAACAGTTTTAGGAAGGATTATTCTCCTTTAAAACAAATTAATCCGAATATCACTGGCACAACTGTCATCGAAACACCAACACCACTGCTCAGTGCACCACTGTCTTCATGCGTATCACTACGACATAAGTATATAAAGATAGTGTGAAACACTAATTTTCTGATGAAAGTTATTTTCTGAGCAGTAGCTATGCTTAATCAAAGGAAAAAACCCAACACCGAATATACAAAACTAAAGAATAGGAAAATAAATAAAGTTGGTTTGATTTGTTCAACCTGTGTAAAAAGCAAAAAAATTGTCTGAATCGGTTCATAAAGATTTACAAATACAAAGAGATTCAAGGTAAGGTTTAATTATCAAAGATCATTTATTCTAACTAGCAGTCAACTAGAATAACACAGATTTTCTGTCTTCACTTCAGATGGCTGAAAATGACAGTTGCAGACCTCTGGATTTTGGGTTTTATGGTTAACATTATTTCCCAGCAAGAGGTAACTACCATCTAAACATAACTGACTTTGCCTAGGAAATCACCCAGTGTTTCAATCACAACAGTAAACCTTTAGCTGATTGGGTACATTTTACCTCCTGTAGGATTTTCAGCTGAACTGGAGTCACAAGTATGATGTTGAAAGGTTCGTATCGTGATCATCAAATTAGTATACTCTCCATCACTATGCACTCTTAAGTGATATCAAATAATTGAATTCAACTAAAAAAAATGCCGTGAAACTAAGTTTCGTACTTGTTGCCGCTCGTTACAAAGACAGTACGGAATTTTCTTTTAATTGCTTAGACAGCGACCAAAGGTAACTAGGAATTAAATAACACTACAGCAGTTATTTTATATTGACTGATTGAATTATTCGTGTAAAATTTTGACTTTGGAAATGTTAACTATTTAAACGATGTGTTCTAATACCTGTCAACATTGAAGGTATTCATAAAAACTGAAGGAGACATTTAGTTTTCCTCCTTTTAAGGAAAAGACAATATTTTTCAGCTGTAGAATAGCATATTTACTTCCTGTATGTATTTACTCTTACTTCTCAAATACTATATCACAATTATTTTAAACGACAGAATGCATTAATACTTCGGATACACTTTTGATAATATGAAGACTTAGTTTCCACTGCCATCTTAACATTTTATTAATTCACAAAACTAAAATTTTAAATTATCTGAAATTCAGTGGTAAAAATTAAAAGTAACTGTTTTATAATGTAGAATGACTTAGTTGAAAGTTAACCTCAGATACCTAAATCCATTTTTCATCATAGCGTGTCAGTGACACTTTGACAGCTTGTACTGATTTAGACTAAAAGCGTGTTGTCTAACTTTTGGAAACACATTTAGAATAACTTTTGATGGAATTTCTAAACTTATGTAGAACACAAAGTCTCATGAAAACTGACTTCCTATCATTTAGCTCTCTATAGGAATTATCATTCACAACCATGAATCTTCCACCTTGTGGTTGCTCTTTTTTGATAGCGCAAGAGAATTGCTTACCTATTTTTAGTACCTAATTTTATTCCTATATTTGGAAAATAAACTCTGACTTTTGCAGTCAATGCTTTGATTAAAATGTCTTTTTTCAGTAGTTAACTATGGACGTACTAGTATTCTTAGGTGTTCTCCAGGATCTGGTATTTGCTTACAGTTTTATCTATAGCATGAGTCTCATTTTATTTGCGAGATCTTCGTTAGACTTTAATGCAGCAAGTATTCTTTCAGATAGGAAGTGTTATCTGCAAGCATGCTGGCTAATATCAGTAAGCACTTCTTGTCTAGTTCTTTACCTCGTTTTCATTTATCTTGATTTACTTCTGTATTACCTTGCCTAACTGTAAGTAAAAGCACATCCGCTAGAATGTGGAGAGAGCTAAACAATGTGTCGAATAGACAGAAGGAGGTCAACTGCGATTTCAGCACTTTGAGTTCTTGGTGAAAAATACGTGTTCAAGATTTGAAGTTTCGGTGGTGGTGTTGATAGCCTTACGCCCAACCCTCTCCTTTTCCCTTGGCTGGTAAACTAGATGTGGTTTAAGAGTGCGTTGGTCGAGATCCCAACCCATACCACACACATGGTTGGTGAGTATTCTATTACTGAGCCACACTTTTTGATTCACTGTCTGCCAATTTGATGCCGTTATGACTTTATCACAGACACTATAAAAGCGAAGGAAGAGTACATATCTCAAACAAATCTAATCATTTGCTTCTGTGGATCAAACAGTTGTATTAGCCATAGAGATTTTACAATCACTGTTTTTATTCACTTGAGATAAGAATCACACCCACTATATTGATAAAGTCACTTTGTTTAAGCATGAGAACTCTGTTAAGTACATACAGCAATATAAGACTGTGTTGAGCTAGAAAACTAGTTAAATCCTTCTTATTGACAGCCAGAAGATTTTATTATTGAGTTCAGTTAGTAGATACGATTAATTGGGATTCAATTCAACGGCGAAATAACACTAACGTTCTGTTAGTCATACGCTAAAAAAAATCACACTGAGTAAAATCATGCAGAAAACGAAATTTGTTATTTTCACTTAGAAACATTATTTTTTATGTGAGCTCATCTACTGTCCAGCAAAATGTTGTTATTCAGCTTTACACTCAATACGGAAATGCATGTACGAACTGTTAAGTAGTTTCAATGAAATACTGATTGTGAGATACAGAGTTTCTTAGTCTTCCATTGAATTGAAGATGCCATTCTTCACAAATAATGATATCATATATAAAACAGAACTACGCTGAATTAAATTTCTCACAGGTTTGTAGATGTGTGCTGTTAATAATCTCAAATTAGGTTAAAACGATTATTTTGGTTTTCTTGACAAATAAATGCATTCTTTGTCTTTCGCTGACCAAAAGAAGATGGAGGAAATCGATCAGAAAGAGGACTCAAAATACAAATTTATGATATATTCACCAGGAGTAGTGCCACCCAAAAGGGAGGAAAAAATTGTTTAGCATCTTTTTCGGAAAATGTAGGTCAGACTTTCACCGATATTTTTTACAACTATTGATATAAATTTGATTTCTGTCTACCTATATTTACACTTAGATTGACATAAACGCTGTTTCAATTCATTATTTATTTTTTATATTTTTGATTTGCAGCTTGATTCAGTGGTTTGTTCATGGATAGGTTTATTAAAAGAATCACAGTTGCTTTCTAGATAATAAAAATCTTTTGATTCACATCCTCGGAAATGTTTATTGAATACAAATAGAGCTAATTTAAGATAATTTAAACTCGGCTCAACTGCGAATTGGTGACAGGTTCTTAATTTCAGTACTTTTATGCGTTTATCACTTAAGATGTTCAGAATTAAATAATTCATGTCCCTTTTCTATTTATTTAGATAGCTACTAATTTAGAAGAGAGGAAATTCATGAACTCACTTTACTAAACAAGCAATAATAGGACAATGGTTGGCCCGTCACAAAGTTCTGGTAAACCCGGTGATTTAATATGTCTGTGTATTGGTGGTCGTTTATTTGTGACCAGAAGAGCGACACTTTATCGATTACCTGATAGTCGGTTATACTTAATTGCTACTCAAGGAACAACTAATCAAGAATCAAATTCCAATTATTCAGCTCAAACAAACTTAGGAGGTGACTTTGTGAAACCAGTTAATGAGGGATCAAGAATAAATTCAAACCACTTATCACCACGTCAGACATCTGGCAGAGTAGTGGGTAACGGACCAAATGAAGGTGCCTTAATTGGTGGTGCATCTATTCTGCCAGAGAATATAGCTTCTATGCTTGCAGGAAATATGAATTTACAGTCAGCTTCTTCAATTTGTAGAAACAGAGAATCTGGACTTGCTAATCCTTCATTAAATATTTCACATGGAGTGGATTTATGCCGATCATTTAATGCATCTGTTTCCTCAACACCAAGTAACCTATTATCCTCATTACCTACTCCTATTGTAACAACACCTCCAACTGTTTACTTTTATGACAGAGATCCAGAAATATTCCGTTTCGTACTAGATTATTACAGAACGGGGGAATTACACTTACCATCAAGTATCTGTGGTCCATTTGTGCGTAAAGAATTAATATTCTGGGGCATTGATGAAGCCTTGATTGGTCCTTGTTGTATGCCTGCTTATATGCGATATGATGAAGAAAAACGAACAAAGAACACTTTATTTCGTGACTGTTTTGAAGATATAGACTCAATGCAAAATCTTGTTAAATTTTCAAGAGGCTGGAAGAAATGGAGATATCAAATGTGGTTATTCATGGACCACCCAACGTCTTCGCTAGCTGCCAAAGTAAGTAGAGAAATTTATATATTTAATAATGTTTGGTGCAAACTGAGTTCTATCGGTCAAGTTTATGTTAATCTTCCAGTTGTGTTGATTTCCTGATAGTGAACGATTTCGCGACCAGGGTTAAACATGTGTATACTTGGAGGATTTCATGTAAGCGTACATTTTACTAGAACTGTGCGTGTATGCACTTAAACCTACGCAGATATTTAATCAGCAGTTAAATATGACTTTAAATCTTCAGTCAGTGATCTGTGTTCGCCATACACAAGCTGAACACAGATTAAACAGATTACACTCAGATTACATTCAAAAGTGAGACGCACTATTTAGGCTTTCTTTCCAGCCATTGCTTATTATTATTTAAACTGATTTTGGTATTTGTGATTATTTGCATGTATTCTGACATATGTGATTGAACATATTATCCATTCATTGTCGAATGATTTTTGTAGTTATGAAAAATTGAGTGAGTTGTGTTCATTTCACTATTGATTACTGTGAAAAGTTTAGATTGGATACACATCAGTTTGCACCTTCTACTGTCTACTATATAAGCTGACTAATCGAAAGTCTAGGAATTTTTCCTTAAGACGAAATATTTGAGTATAATATAATCATAAATACTGCGCGATCAGTGGGATCCACTGGACAGCAAATGAGGACTAGTACTCGCCGAAGACATTGACTGGTGGTCACTCTAAAATCACAAAGTGACTTAAGTTTGAATTCATCGGTTACCGGATTCCAGCTCCAGTGAACAGAAGGTTCCATTTTAGATCTTTGGTGAGGTTTTGTGTACGTACTGATGAAAACTCCTGAGCTAGGACGAAAAATCTGCGCAGTACTTCGTGGTTTTAAAAGTTCTGTAACTGACTTCGATCTGTGACTAGACATGAAACATATTTAATTTTCGTTTCTTAGAATAGAAATTAATGAACACTCAATAAACATAAGGAAACACAAACAGTGATATATTCATAAAATCACTATCCTATTTGCTCTCATGTCTTCAGTGTATACTTCTTACACAACTAAACTATTTCACATAACATTTAGTGCAGAACATTAAAAGAATTATTTTTCATTCTTCTGAAGAATGTCATAAAATGATAACTAAGAAGTAACAAAACACCGAAAATGTATACGATTAGATGTTAAAACATTCTTAAGTTATCTTATAAAACTGGTTAGTATGTATGTACATGTATTTGTCACATATTGGTTGCATGGTTGTTGTGCAGCAGGTATGGAATAAACAGTGAAACATTCATGGAAATGTTTTAAAATATTCATGAAATTAAGCTGTGCATAATAGCTTGTAACCGGAGATAATTGAAGAACAATGGTGACAGATACCTGAAAACACTTCTAGTTTACGTGTTCTTCTGTTTCTAAAAGTGAAACCCACCTCTTGTTTGACTTTAAACTACTTAGTTGAAAGTATAGTCAATTTAGTGAGAGATGGTTATTCAACTAGAGGCATTGCTTCAAAGACCCAATAATTATCCTCCAATCTACAAAAATACAAATCTTAGGAATCTGAGGGAAGTATCACAACAAGGTGATTTGATTCTGCACACAGAATTTAACAATGCCCACTTTTTTCTGGTTGCTTCATTGAACACACTGTTTCATTTTCAAACGGTTCGCGCAACATACCAATCTGTGTCAATCTAGTTTGATTTCATGAGGAATCATGGCATGGATTTTCAAGTCTTCTGGAGTGAATGACTGGGTCGTATTCAGTTTGTCAACTACTATGTAACAAACTGTTCTTACAAATTTCTTGACTTAGTAGTAAATTCCTTGTTATTGTGAAATATGTTGGATGAAAGTCTCGAGAATAACTCCGTCAAGTTAAGTGGGTGTACGAAAATACAAAAGTTATTTCGGGTATTGATTACACTCTACCAAGTACTACGAAAGAAACTTAATGATTTTAGAAAGTGATATTATGAACATCTGTTGGCAAGTGATATAGCGGAACAGGCTTTCAAGTTGTCAATGATCACAAAAGTTTTAGATATTATTTTTATACTCAGTGAAACTTTAGGTAAAATAACATATCTCAGAAATTGGTGTTTAGGTTGTAGCTGCTAAATATAGAGGGGAAATTTAAAAATAATCACTTCTGAACTATGTTAAGCATTATTTAAATATCTTTTCTATACTTTCATAATTATCATTTATGAAATGACTATTGTGTGGTTACCTAGGTTTCATTTCCTATTTGGAATAATCACATAGGTGGTGACTACTTTTTCAAGCATTGCATGAAAGCGTATTATGCTAAGACAGAATACAGTGAATAAAGAGAAACAGGTTACGTGATGAGTTCTCAAATGCCTAAATGGTTCTTGCAAAATGAAAAAGAAGAAATTTGAAGAAAAAGAAGTCCCGATGGCTAATGAAAAGTAGAATTTTGTTTTGAAGAAAGCAACCAGAATCATGCACGCATGGTTACAGTTTTTAAGCACAATTTACGCTTACTGTCACTTATTTTCAAATGTATGATATTCAGTAACTGTCAGATACAGTAATACCTGCTGTTCTGAAGGTACACTGAAGAGGAAAAAAATAGAAGAATTATGATTAATATATTTTAGTTAATCACTATCAGTTATATGCAGTGCTTTTCTGTCAAACAACTGTTTTATGATGTAATTTTATGGATTTAAAATTCAGATAACGGATATTCTGGGTTGTAAATATTTTCATTATAGCTTTTGACAACAAACGATATTAGTGAAATGCCTAAAACCCACGAGGCACTTAGCAGCTGGTTACTCTCAGTTTGAAACATTACAGTAATGCACGAGCTCACTAATAACCTTGCGTAGGACCATCACCTTGTGTTGTCTTCATGTCGCCATTCTGAAACAGGTTTGTATGTCACCGCAGGGGTTTCAATTCCTATTGACTACGGATATAACGCCCCGCCATCCAGTGACATTTGTGAAGATAGTTATTGAGCGCTATTAAATAGTCCCAAACTAGAGAGATAGAGCCATTCAGTGATGTCCAGTCTAAAGTGAACCTGTAATTGATGTCAATTCATGAAAAAATGTACCTTGATATCAATGAATTTTCCACAGACTAAATATCTGGCTGATGGAGGGACGTAACAAAGAGGAACTAAGAATTTCTAGGATGTAATCACATCTGATATTGGATGACAGTGAACAGTTTCAGCGATTTACAGAAGTTACGTAAACAGGTGAAATTTTATAGATTTTTATAAAGTAGATACATATAGTAAATTGAAATCTTTACGCATGCAATCCTACCAGACCTCATTTTAAACAAACCTCTCAGATGGATAGTAATAATCAAGTTGTAAGATTCATAAAGTGAACTGATTACTAAGACAAAACAAAATTTTAACTACAATAAATACGACATCTATTTCCAACCAGGGATTAAAAGCAGGCCCAAGTTTGTGTATCATATGTGTGATATAAATGTCAGTCAACATCAGTTGTAGGACTATTTCGATGAAAATTTAAATATATGGAATTCAAAGTTCACTCCCGTTTGCAGTGTAAAACTAAGTAATAATGACTATGAATTTCAAGTTTACATGAAAGTAGTTTTACAGCATGCTTTTCACTAAATTGAAGAAGAAATGTATGCGGATTTCAATACAGAAGATGTAAATAATGTTGCATTCGACTAGTCATGTAGCAGAACAGTGTTTATTGGCAGACTGAAGAAAAAAAATCATATTTTTACAAATCTTATACAGCCAGTTTTTTGTCTACAGAGATTCATATCAATTTCACAGGATAGGGAGAAACTGTTAAACTTTTTAGTGTAGAAAATTATTGGTTGAATAGATAATATTTTAATATTTTATAATGTGAAATGTTATTGAACATAAGAGTTAAACTTGAATTCTTACCTAGCAAAATTAGGAAAACAACAACAAGAAATCTTGAGTAGAAAAAAAACAAATGCAAGTTGGAAACCAGTTTTCTACATAGATATATTGACTGACTGAAAACTCACTGAATCTCAGACTCATTATGATTACCATTATGATCAGAAATAATATGCCAAAATCAATCCAGAAAACTGCAACTCAACAAACTCAATTCTCGTGACAACTCAATAAATCACTGAGTAAGTGAAATTCAAAAAAGGTGGTTTCTGGTTGTCCCTGTAAATGAATCGATAGTTCTCTAGTTCAGAAATCTGCAGGCTTTTTTTGTTTTTATTCCCATTTCAATCACTAACACTGATATAAATACCTGACAGTTATAATCACAGTAACGAAAGCAATTACAGTTGTCTTAAAAGACTCTGTGGAACACACTGTCTAGGCAGAGTAACATTTGCATGGCTGATATATTTTTAAGATACTTTCCGTAAATAAAGGCGTATGAGAACAGAACAGTCATTTTGCTCCCGTGTAGCACCATGCCCCATATCTCATTTACGCAAAATGTCAACCTGCATGTGACGACGTGATCCCAGTGGTCCTAAAGTTTGAAACCTGCGAAAAATTTTCATTTCTTTAAGTTGCTCAAAGTGTTATTACAGCAAAGTTAATAGTCTTAATAGTCGAAATCCAGATAAATCTGATATGAAAGCCAAAATATAAGATCGGAAAAGCAGTGAGTGTGAATGGCACATGTTATCCTTAGACCTCCACCCAATGGTTCCATTCGTTTCCATTAAATTATATTTCACGTTCGACCATTGTAATCATGAAAGAAAGCTAGAAACCAGTGTTGAGAAGAAGTCACCTTTTTAACAGAAAAAAAGATATTTTCAGGATATGAAGCAGAATTTGATATTTCCTTCCCTTTATTTTATTTTCACTCCATTTTCTCAATTTTTCCCACTATTCAACGGGTAAAGCAGGTCACTGATTTGTTACGTGACCTAATGATAAATCGAAAAAAATTCTCATAGGAAGAGAAATTAGTTCACTGCGTACAACAATGAATAAAATATATTATGTGCTCAAAGAAAACTATATTATATCAACTGCAATG